ATATTTCTATATATAATGATCACATAAGAAGATCAATTTCATAGCAGTATTAGGGACAGCTATTAATCTACTTAGGATAATAAATCATCTGAAAAAAAAATTTTTAATCACAACATTCGATTTATAGGGGCTTACTATTTATATCCAAAATATAATTATACACATATTTGGTGTTAGTTTGTTAACCGACTATGAAATAGTTTTGACCCACACTTAGATTATTTTGGCATTTCAAGGGATCTATAAAAATAAATAATAAATCTCTGTCACTAAATATAGGATAAATAAATATATATATATTACCCTCATTCATGTTACTACTAAGTAAGAAATTATTTTTTCTATTTTAGATAAACTACAAAATATATGATATATAGAAATTAATTCCAAGTACTGTAAGTAAAGATTTAGTTCATTTGAATATTCTTATTTTTCTCAAATTTTTCTTGTCATCATCATAATTTTGGTAATCACTAAACCGTCATGATTATTAGTGGCATTTTCATTCTTTGATAATTGTACATAACGTCATTTGTATATACATTGTTTTTTACTTATTGTGTTTTTATTTGCATATAAATATTATTTGTAGAGAATTATGTTGTGGTTTTTCTACCGAATCGTTCATAGTAATAGATTCTTTATTTATTTCCAAGGACATTCTTAATAAGTTGATATTGATCCGGTGTATTAAAGTATAAAATATACACATGGGAATATAATTAACATGACAAGTGTCAATTAAGATCTTGTCATTTCTTATATAAAGTGTTGGAAAAGTTTTCAGCGTCAGTAATACCTTCGTGTAAAGTAACATTTCTTTATCCTATATGAATAATGTCGTAATACGTTTATATCACGTGTTACCTCATAATTCTGACAACATTCTTAATAAGTTGATATTGATCCGGTGTATTAAAGTATATAATATACACATGGGAATATAGTACATATGATAAGTATCAATTAAGATCTCATCATTTCTTATATACAGTGTTGGAAAAGTTTTCAGCGTCAGTAATAACACTTTCGTGTAAAGTAACATTTCTTTATCCTATATGAATAATGTCGTAATACGTTTATATCACGTGTTACCTCATAATTCTGACAGTCATCCATTACTATCATAATTTTTTTAACTTAGTTTATGTAATGATTTTCCTTAAGAAAAAAAAGAAATATTGATATTGACCACAGAACCTCCTCCAAAATATCCGTCAAAAAGATAACAATTACTATTCCGATATAGTGTAACGGCTATCACATCACGCTTTCACCGTGGAGACCGGGGTTCGACTCCCCGTATCGGAGTATTTTTATATTTTTTATATTTTTTATAATATAGAACTATAAAAACCATTGTTATCCCCATAATCGAAGAAAGGAGTTCTTACTGCCAACATATATTGGTAATCCCAGTAGATTAACATGATATTTAAAGATTAAAGTATAAAAATCTATTACATTTCATTAAATTTCCTCTAAGTTATTTTATAAAAGAGTTCGATAATTCAAACATAAACTTAATTCACTGAATCGTCTAAATAAAGGGATTTGTAAATCCATTCATTATTATATCAACTTTATAGTTTTTTCCATCATTATTATCCCAAAATTCAATTACTTCCTCATCATTTCTTGTAACATACTGAATGCAAAATTCTAAATCCCCCTTATTGGATTTTATATCATTATAATCTATAATGAACTTAAATATGTCCATATTTGTTCCCGGTAATATTGCTTGTGCGTCGCTAATATACATGCATTGAGTATCATGTGAAGTTTTCCAATGATTAAAAGTATATTTCACTATCACTCTTTTGTCAAAGTGGATATTCTTAACTAAAACTCTACCCACAATGAATGAATATAAAAAACTGGTATGTGCCTGATAACCTGAAGGTACTAGTGCATTTTTTTGAATATGCAATGTTAGATCTTGTAAAAAACACTTTTTCTGTTGTGAAAGATTGATGAAAATATTTAACTTCAAACTTTTTGGGTTTTTATTTGACAATATAGGGAAATTCACATTATATAAGCCTCTTATTCTGCTATCATTGTTATGTGAATTATTGTTGGTCTTTTTAGGAGGTTTATCAACTATTGATAATTTATCGAATAAAAAGGAAGGTTCCTCTTCATATTCAATATGATCTTTCTCAGGGGAATTTGATCTAGTCAATTGTTTTGGCGTGTAGCTCAATTTATCCATTTTAACTTCAGATAAAGATAAATCAATTGGACTTTCATCTTTTAAAAAATATTTGACAGGAGCATGCACATTAAAGTGTACACTTTTACTTCTTGTCCTTATTGAATTTAATTTTGTAGTTTCGCTGATTACTTTATGATAAGTTGTATTTGGCAAAGACATTGATCTTTTCTTCAATGAACTTTTAACCAGCTCACCAGATTTTTTATAAATTGGGTTTAGAGAATCAACGGCATTCTTTTTTTCATTATTAAACATTTCATCTATCTTTTCTTCAGTAAGACTGCTTCTTGGAGAGATAGCAGAAAATTGTCTCGTTAATTCATAAATATTGGTATTAGCATTATTTGTATTGTCATCATTATTATTAATATTATTAGTGTTATTGGTGGTGGTATTAATGGAAAACAAATCATCGTTACTTTTCCTATTTAAAATTGTATTTCTTTGCAATTCATTTTGAACAGCAAAACTAGATTTAAAGTATTTCCCCTTCTGAGGCTTCTTCAGCAAAGCCAATGAGTCCAGCTCTTTAATTGGTTTATTACCATATTCTTGGCTTCGGGTAAGGTCCAATTTAATATACATATTACCAGAACAGTCGTATTTATGGCCTTCTTATTTAATGATACCAGGTAATAGGACAACTGTCTAGAAGAGAGGGAAGAACGAAAAAGAATAATATATATATATATATCTGTCGTGACAGCACCAATATAAAATAATATAATATACTCCTCTAATTTTAAAAGCCTCTTACTTTTATATGATTCCACCTTGCCAATTTTCTAAGTCTGCAGTCTTCTTGACGATGAGCTTTTTCTACTCCTCCTGACTCTAACTGACTATGATGTTAGATTGCTGCTCTTAACTCTATTAGCAATTGATAATGATGAAAGCAAATTCAGAGCTAATCTTGATAATAGGATGAAATTAAACCAACTAGATCTGATGTGAAGCTGATTAAAAGTACACTTGTATCAAATTGAGAGACGACTTAATTGACGTAATCTTCTATATGTGTGTCTCCCTGATTAAACTTGAGAGCAAAAGTGAAAAAAAAAAAAAATCCCTTGAACTTTAAGAACTCTTCAAGATGATTTCGATGTGAAGATAGCTGACTTGAGTCAGTGTTGATGGCGATGGCAATAGTTAGTAAGAAGTCAAGGCTTGTTATTTCCCAAATCCTAATAATTGCAACGAAACGCTAAAGTAAATTCGATTTGGTAATTTCTGGAATTATCCATATATTCAAGAGATATTTTATGGTATATATATAATTATAATAATAGTAGCAATAGTAGCAATAGTAGCTGGAGTTGAAATACCAGAGATTGGAGTGAGAGAGTTAAAGTTGATAAAAAATTGAATTAAAGAGAAAGAGCCAGGAAAAAAAAAAATTTTTTTCTTCTTTTATTCGATTTTGGTTGGGAACGTCATCAGAGGGATCATATCAACTCCATTTTTAATAACCTCTAACTGACAATTTATGGTTTTTTTTTTTTAATTTATTTGCAAAATATCAAACTAAATTAATAGCAATGATTAACTTAGTCGTTAACCCACAACAGTAAAAATCAATTACTACATATACTTCGTTCAATAATATTTAGCTGTAAGATTCGATTCGATTCGAATTGAACTGAGCTGAATCGAATCGAATCGATCAACTAACTAATCTCGTGAGATGATGATGATAACAAGTTCGGTTTTCTCATCAACCCACTTCGAAAAATGCATGGCATCCTCTTAATACTGAACACTCTAGTAGGGCGCTCTCTGCCCCCCATGGCATCCCCTCCCCCTCCATCCCCCAATTGGCCTCCCCATCCCTCCCTCCCCCCCAAAAAGAGATGTAGATATGGCTCCCAGTGAGTTCTTGTTCTTGTTCTTGTTCTTTTCACGTCAGTCGTATTAGACAGACAGGCTTGTCTCGTTGCGAAACTTCTGATTCTATCGCTGGCTGCTGTTCCAGCTGTTCCAGCAAGATTTCAACATATCAGGTACAGCACTCTAGTGAGTGTGTGAGTGTGGAAGAGAAGACTAACCGAACGAACTATGTCGATGAATGAATGGGCAGGATAGATCTGTGAGAAAGTGGTCTACGTGTGGTTGGGTTAAGTATGGTGAAAGCTGTAAAAGATTGGCCTTTGCAGGTGATTGAGTGAGAGAGTTTTGCAGAGCAGTGGTGTTTGAGAATGAAATTTTGGGGGGAGGAGGGGGGTAGAGAGGGAGAGAGGGAGAGAAGAAAGGGATGAGCAAGAAACAGGACAGCGAGGGCAAAACGAGAAAGATTTAATATGGTGATCACGTGTGGTCATGTGATTTCAGAGAGGGAAAATAGATATTCCTAATGTTCATAGTGTGCAACTAGCGGTTAGAGTGCATGGTTTTGCTATGTTGCTAGCTAATCTACATCTATATGTCCTTGTATAGCGTGTTGGATGCATTCTGGGGGAGGGGTGCAGCATACAGTCTGTATCACCCCATGGGATAGACATGTGTGCTGTGCTATAACCCTTAGCGAATACCCTTCTAGAAGCACAGTCATGTGACTAAAAACATGACTGTCGTTTGTAACGACGGCTCGTTCATTTAAGTTCACTTGGCCTGCCTTCCGTCAATGGGGAAGACCAGAGACTCTGTGCAATACAAAATGTCTGCCCCGTATAAGCCCAACACCCTTCCCGTGGTAACAAGCTCAGTTCAAAAAGAAATGACTTCGAACCTCAACAGGTCCTCTCAAAGTTTGTTCATATTAACTTTAGTGGTTACAAGAATTTGGGATTAAATTAATAGCAATTAACTATCAACTGGTACTTACACCCACTCTCATGGAAAGAACTAAGAACTGCTTCGGAACCACACCCTACAGTATCTACTTTTGGAAATGTCTGCTTGCTTGCAATCTTCAACAAAAATATTACCTATCCCACGGATACTGAAAATAAAATATTGTTCATCTATTTTTAAATTAATCTATTTTACAACCAAGTCAAGCAAGAATCGTACAGCAGAGTCTCCGTCTATGCAATTATTCAGCCTCATTCACTTCTCTATCATTCTTCGTGGATCTTTGTATTCTGCCTCACTTTTCCAACTCTGATTGAAAGTAATCCCAAAGGCAAAAGAAAATGTAAGTAATTGATGAATTAATAAATAAAATGCTTTTGTTGTTCTTACATCTGCAAACACACCTGATGGTAACTTAAACAACATAAACCTGAACCTCGGTAATCGAATTCGCTTTGCAGTAACCTAGTAATCCAATTGGCCAAATGCAAAAAGCGAATGGGAGGATTCCAAACTCGTTGCATCAACTTATATTCCATTAAAAATAAAATATGTCATAAATCTTTTCAACTCCACCATGGACCCTTCCTCAAACTCATTTTCAATTTCAATTTCATAAAAAAGAGTTTCCATATACCACCAAAATGCACGGTCAACTACAATGCCAATTTACTTACTCCACACGTGGAGAATTAAACTCAATTTAGTTATTATTTAAACTTATTGACACTTCATCTCTTGCGTAATCACTACAACTTTTTTTCAGTTCTCTTTGTCTGGTTTCGATCTAAATATCGAAAATTTCACCAGACGTTACTTTTTAAGGTGAAAAATTATTCGAATTTTGAAATGCTTTAACTAAATTCAAATAAAAAGGTGATGGTGATGAGGATAAAGATGATGTCTGTGAATTATATCAATTTGTTATGATGGTAATTGCAAGGGTTTGTGGCAGATTGGTTGATTATTAACTGTTGTTCAATTTTGAGTAAGTAATTTTTATTCCATTGTGGAAGTCAAGAATACTGAAATGAAATTTGCAGAACATTTACAGAATTCTGTCGTGCCAGAATGGAAGGATAAGTATATTGATTATAAGTTGGGTAAGAAAAAAATCAAGGCATTGGCTAGTGGGAATCGTGGTAGTGCTGATTTGGTTGAAGATTTTATTGAGGATTGGGTAGTTTCCATTGAGTTGAGTAAATGTAATGATTTTTATCAATGGTTACTCCGTGAATGTAATAAAAAATATGTTGTATTAGAGAATCAATTAAATATATATTTAAAAAGAGTAGCTGATGAAGAATTACGGAAGAATATATCTAATCAAAGTGATTTGGATGATCGTTTGAGTCCAGAGCTCGCTCGTGTTGCTAGGATTAAAAATACTGCTAATAACAGAAAGAAAAAAAGGGACGTCTCTTATGGTTCAATTGTTAAAAATACAGAAAAGAATGCAAATATTTTTATAGAGTTCCTTCGACAAAATGATTTGTTACCATCTTTACCAAAAAGGTTTAAATCTCAAAGTTTAGTACCGAGAGTCTCAGGAAGACTAGGTAGTGAGACTTTTAATAGAGCTGAAGAAATACCTTCGAATAAAAAGGCTCAGACTATGCTGGCAAATGCTATGATAGATTTCTTTTTATACGTCAGATTGGTTAAAACCTATAGAGATTTGAATGTGAATGGTTTCAGAAAAATCGTTAAAAAATTCGATAAAACTTTCTCTACAAAACAATTACCTATATTCTTAGAATACGTCAACGATAATATTTCATTGTTCAAGCAATCTTTAAATGAAAAAATTGATCCTTTGACTACTTATGAAGCTAAAATTACTGATTGGTACATGAATGAACTAACCAAAGATCAATCCACTCTAGAAAAAAAGATTCACAATAATCGATTGAGAAAATTCACTCTTCAATATTCTTTAAATGAACAGATGATCCATAGAAATAATAGATCATTATTGCAAATGTTTGTAGGTGGCATCGGTCTAGGTATCTCATTTGTTCTATTCATCTATACCATATACAGAGTCGTTACAACTACCACTATAGACTTTTACGTCATCCATAAGGTTTTATTCCCTCTTTGGGGTGGTTGGAATATGATCCAATTAATGGGTACTTTATACAATTTGGATTGTTTCATTTGGCATCGTACAAATATAAATTATAGATTTATTATGTTTGGTGAAATTCATTCAAAATTTGGCACCAGATTATTTAATAACGATTTTGCAACAAGTTTGATCCCATTAAACTTATATTTCTTAATATGGTTCATGGTTCCATGTTCTTTTTTAGCATTCTTGAGTTTTCGTTTTGATATGTTGACTCCATACGCATTTATATTTTTAGGTTGGGCTGTCCTATTATTCATGTGGCCAAAAAATAGCATAATCCCTTACTGGGATAAATTACTATCTACTAGAAAATGGCTGCTTGTAACAACTATTAGATTGATATGTTCTGGCTTTTTCCCAGTTGAGTTTGGTGATTTCTTTATGGGAGATATTGTATGCTCATTAACATATTCAATTGCAGATATCGCTACTTTCATATGTGTTTATTCTACAGTACCAGGAACAAATTGTGGATCTTCCCAATTGAAATCAATGGGTGTTCTCTCTTGTCTACCTAGTTTTTGGAGATTCATGCAATGTTTAAGAAGATACTTCGATTCGGATGATTGGTTCCCACATCTATTGAACGCCGGTAAATATTCCATGGGTATTGCATATAATGCTTCGTTGTCAGCATACAGACTATCGCACCATGCAAAAGAGAAACGTAATCCATTCATAGTATTCGGTACATTAAATTCTGTCTATACTTCTGTATGGGATATCGTAATGGATTGGTCATTATTACAAAATATACATGGTAAGAATAGATTTTTAAGAGATGATCTTTACTTAGCTGGTAGAAAAAATTGGAAGACAGGGGAGTATTATAGTGATAGGAAATCTGTATATTATATGGCAATGGTTATTGATGTAATTTTAAGATTTCAATGGATAGTTTATGCCATAACTCCTGAATCTATTCAACAAAGTGCAGTTACATCTTTTGTTTTGGCATTTACAGAAGTAATAAGAAGATTCATTTGGATTATATTTCGTATTGAAAATGAACATGTTGCCAACGTACATCTGTTTAAGGTTTCAGGTGAATCATCTCTTCCATACCCTGATACACTAGTTGCATCAGAGGAGTCTTTCACTCCGAGGTCGAGTGGAGAAACCACGACGTTGACAATACCACTAAGCACTGTTAGTTCGACAGGAATAAAGGAACCATCGTCTGCTTACCACGCGTTATTCAGAAGAAAGGCATCAATCTTTGATAATTTCTCGAGATCAATTCCCTGGGCTCATGCCACTGATTTCCAAAGGCCAGTAACTAATAGATCAAAGGATATGGAATCTGAAAGTGAAAGTGAAAATGAAAGCGATCCAGAAAGTATTATGGATGGTGGGGTTTGAGTTTTCTAGAACTAGTAATCCTATGAAAAAAAGATCAATAAATTATTAACTATATAATTATTTGATTATATATATGCAAAATAGTAATTAATGCGTTTAAAATATTTATAAGTGTCAAAACTTTTAAGTAACATTACCTCTTAAACAAGTGAAAATTGTTGCACTTTTGCGTAACTTGGAGGATGTAAACGTCTATAAATGCTTTTCATAACCCAAACTGGTAAAATAGAGAAAAGTAAAATAAAAATTAATATGAACCAATATGATGGTCTTATCATGTATTTTAAATCGAAGTATTCACCCAAGAATGGAATTGATAAAATGAAGAAAGCAAAGGTGACAATCTCTGATATTACCATTGCCCTATGCCAAGTGTAAATTTCTAATGCCACCATAATTAATTCATTAATAACTAAACAAACGAAACTTATGGAAACCATTTTTTCAAAATCTACAGGCTCTATGCTTGTGAAAGTTTGTGAAAATAGCTGGATCACGGTACCTTGGAATAGGGATAAGGTTACCCATGTAAAGAATGTTTTATATGATAAACTTTTACCTTCTGTCAAATCTTTATACAATTCTGGGTATATCTTGGTCAAAGATTCATCGATATCACGATCTAAAGTTAGAGAAAAGACAGGAGCCATAGTATAACAAGTTGCATAACCAACCATCAGCCAGCCCTTGTACAGAGCAATAGGCTCGAAATTAGAACATATAGAATAAACTGCTTGACAAATTGCAATGATCAACCCTCTGTGCATTACAAACTGGGCTAATTTTGCAGATCTCTTGTAAGAGTTTCTACCATGCCATAGTAATAACTCAGTAAGATAGCAAAATTGTGTAATTGAAAAATCAGCGGCTAAAGAAGCCTGTTTACCTTCTTTCCCTACAATCCCGACACCAACATCTGCACATTGTATCATACTAACATCGTTACCACCATCACCAATACAGCATACCCTTTTCTGAGTCATTTCACGAATCAATAATGCAATATCAGCTTTTTGTTGTGGAGTACATCTACATGCAATCACCGTTGGAAGATTGACAGTGACATTAAAAAATTCAGTCTTGAAATATTTTAAATACATCGCCAGAGATTCACCATCAATTAACAAACATGAATTACGATTTATCTTTAAGTATTCTAATTGTGATAATGCGCCTTCTGGTTTGTTTACTTTTGTAATTACATGAACATACTGTCCTCTATTGATTAATTTTGCGCTAATAGAAACACAGCGTGCTGTTTCAACTTTATCACCAGTAAGCATCCAAATTTTTATGCCAGCATTTCTTAATAACTCAATCGATGACTTAACATTCCTTTGTAACTTATCCTCAACACCTGTTAGACCAAGAAGTTCTAAATCATGTTCTAAATATTTGGTAATGGTGTTAGCCATTTTCTCATCTCTTTTTACCATTGCAAGACTAGCATGATCATAGTCTTTTCTGAATTGCTGGTATACTTTATTAGAAAGTTTCTTTCGGCCTATTACTAAAGTACGTAAACCTTCTCTAGCCATATTGCCAGTCTCTTCTTCTAACCATTCTGTGCTTTCGACTATTTTTGTCATTACTGTATCGGCACCTTTTTGTAAAAACCAGTATTCATCTTTCTGTTGATCATGAATAATAATACCCATACGTTTGGAATCTGAATTAAAAGGGAATACTTGTAATATCTGGTAATTTAAGGTCACACCTGAATGTTCATGAAGAAGTGTAATAGAGTTACGATCTCTCTTGAATAAAGATAAACCGACTGATTCAGTAAACTTCACGATGGCTATTTCATCTGGTGATGCAGCTTGATAAGTTAATTCATCGTCTTCGAAAGTGGGTGTAACATTATGACAAATCGCTAAAGTGACAACTAAATCCTTTACACGAGCAGATACATCCTTCCTTGCAGCTGATCTACTTGTTGGGTTTGTAGTGCTTTTAGAGGATTCAACTAATGTTTCAATATAATTGGAAACGATATCTAAAGTTTCACTAGTGTATGAAACAGATCCCAAATTCAGTTTTTTCAACTGCATATCATTTTGTGTTAAGGTACCTGTCTTATCAGTTAAAATATATTCGATTCTTCCAAGATCTTCTGGAATAGTACTTGTACGAACAATGGTATCTTTTATAGTATCGTCGTGTTCAATTTGATATGCATAAACAGATTTTGCTAAATCCAAATTAACTCTCAATGAAACAGGGATGATAGTAGAGAATAAAATTAAGTATCTCATTATATCAATGTACCAATCATTATTTTTGAAGCCGGCACAAATTACAATAAAAATGGATAAAACAAACACAGATATACACAAAATTTTGGAAATACTATTAATTTCAAGCTCTAATAATCCTGTTTTGACTGTTGGTTTGGTTGTATTCATTGCTTGTCTTGTATCTTTACCAGTATAGATAACACATCCTACGCAAGTACCTGTAGAAGCTAAAACAGTATTAGCCCAAAGTGTGTTATCAACATTTAAAGGATTTGAAGTAGCACCTTTATAAGTAACTTTACCTAAAAATGAATCGATTGATTTTTCTGGAGCTGAGGTTGTTATGCTTATTTTATTCATCAAATCATCTTCGGTTAAATTTTGTGTTAAATGACTGGCTACCCTTAATTTCCAATCAGTCTCACCATCCAATTGATCTGTTTTAATAAAAGCTTCCCCTGAAGGTTCTGAGGATTGCAATAACACTAAATCTGCAGGTATTCGTTCACCTTTTTTCAATTTAACTAAGTCACCAACTTTTAAGTCTTTACTTGGTACCAACTGTGAAGATTTTGCCAATACTTGGTAGAGTTCATTGTTAGCTTCTTTATCCCTTTTCCTCCTTCTAATATCATCCATTGCCTCTTTTAACATAGTGACAGTTAATACAAAGGCCAATGGTACGATATATGAAGAGAGATAACCAATTCTTAACGCTGGTATAATTTGGGATAATGCCACCAATAAGAAATATAAATTGAAGAAAAATTTAAATTGTTCATATAATAAAATAGGTAAAAAGTTGAAAGCATTATATTTTGCATTTGAAATTTCATTTGAAGGATATTTATTTCTATCATATATTGGTGTTGTATCAGGATGAATCTCTCTCTCTGAATAATCTTGCACCCTATCAACTTCCGCATCACTTATAGACCTATATTTAGTCAACCTTACATTAGTCCTTGACTGGACAAACTTTAGTATTCTATTGAAAAGTTTAGAATAAGATGAACTTTGATTCATAGCAATGTATCCATTATTATCTACAGGAACGTAATTTGTGGTTCCCTCATTTAAAAGTGGATGTGAATCTAAATTATTCGACATTCTCTTGGACAATGATTGAATCTCGAAATTTTCCTGATACAGATTATCTTCTTGCCATGTGTTACTATTACTATTGCTGTTATCACTCTTGTTATTGATATGTAAATTATCCAAAGCCCTATCAAATTGAGAGTCAAACGTATTTGTATTGGCTGATGATGGGAAATCCATCTGTTCGAATTTATTCAAATTGTTAACAGTTCAACCAGAATTATGGGTCCCGTTTACGTTTCTATTATTCAAAACCTCCTCTGCTTTTGCTACCCCTCCAATACAAAAAAAAAAGAAAATAATGAACAGATCACTAGATTAAATATTCTTTTCGTTGTATCTCTCGAAAGTTAGCAAAACTAATCAATCCACTTGACCTCTTGAAGTTATTCTTCAAACCTTATTGCCTTCTTTCTTCACTAAATAATATACAAAACTTAGAAACAAAAGGAAAGATTAGATGAGTTATCTTTGATCTTAAATGTAGCCAAATTTTGATTCAATTTCGATCTTTAAAATCTCGTTTTCTATGATGTTGATTAAAGGTTTTGATTCAAAAGTTCATGAACTTTTAAAAGCCTTCTAGAGGTTGGTTCGATTGTTCTTGTTTTGTTATTTTTTTGATATTTATTTTTTGTTTGTAGTTATGTGTATTATTTATATTATGTATCTATAATTATATAGAGGTATCTACCTTATATTTTTTGTTGCTACAAAATAAAGGGTATAATTGCATGATTCGGGACAAATTGATGTCTAAATTTATCTTTATAATAAGCTTTGGTTTCGATTGCAGATATAGATAGACTTGCTATTACCCAGATAAGTAACCATATGAATTCGTTGTTGTATGATACAAATGAAGAGTAAATTAGAATTTCATCGAAATAATGTGGTGAACAGCAAATTTTGAATAGTCTTTTTGTTGGTAACGAATATTTTACCAATTCTGATAATACTCTATGGTTTTTATATTGATCCCATGATGCTATTATAAAAATTACTAGAGACACTATGTTGATATCTTTGGAAATTTTACCTTGATGTAGTTTAATTCTTACTATTAAGTGTAATACTGAGTAAAACCATATTCCTACAATGTAATGAGACCAATTCATTCTTGAATTTTTAGAATATTTAGAAACATAAATGGTTTCATAGAGTCTTCTCAATGAATGTACTAATAATAACCATGATATTGGATATTTAGGGTAATCTTTCAACACTGCAATTGATAAGATAGTAGATATTATGTAAAAATGTGAGAAATATGATTTAGGCACTGTAAAATGTTCTATCTTGAAAAGAACCTTATTAACATTTGAATCATTACTTTCTCCCTTATTATTTTTAGTTATTGTCTTACCATATTGTAAAAAAACAGGTAAATATAATTTAGCAATGAAAAGTGATAGCAACCCTATAACGAATGAACATCTGTAGCCGATTGTGACCAGATAAATAAGATCCATCGCCCAACTTATGGTTATCCCTCCCTAGACTCAATTGTGAATGGTATTCTTTTAGAAGTCCTCTATCACATTACTTTAAATCATAATTTAAATACGATTTCTCTCTCTCTTTATTTTGTATATAGTTGTGATGTTTTTTTTTGTGAGACTGTTGCAATTTATTAAAAATATCAATAGTTGGTTGACTCTTGGATATTTCAACATCCCAGTCAATCCATCTATTGACTAGTCAAGTCAGAATCTTGTTTCAAGTCAATAGAATTTGGAAAATTTAAGTTATTAAAGTTTTGTTATAAAACAAATACAAAAAGAATGGAATTATAGATTATATAAAATTATTATGATTAATTATTATAAATCAGTTTCTCTTCTTACCCTTCTTGGTTTTCTTGGCAGCATCCTTCTTAGCAGCTTCAGTTTGTTCCTTGACGACCTTCTTAACGATCTTTTGTTCTTCAATCAAGAAAGCTCTGGTGATTCTTTCCTTGACACAGTTGGAACATCTGGAACCACCGTAGATTCTAGAAACGGTCTTGTGAGTCTTAGAGATGGTAGCGTATTTTCTTGGTCTCATAGCAGCAACACCTGGTAAGCAGATACCACAGTCACCACATTTTGGTCTGGTAGCCAACTTCTTGACGTGTTGAGCACGCAAGATACCACCTGGGGTCTTAACGACCTTGATCTTGTTAGAACGGGTGTTGTCTATTTAAAAAAAAGAACGTGAACACAGTTCATCAATTATGTTAGTAACAATTTCCTATAACTTCATATATAATTCTGATATCTCGACGATAGTTGAGCTAAAAATTTCACTATGATATTATTGTAGATTATGTTGCCATCAAAAACGAATTCTTCAATAGGTATATTTCCCCACTATTTAGTAAGATATTGATAATCATTTCATACTGTGACTCTAAACCTGTTTATGGTTACTAAAAACTGTAACCTCCTTTCAAATACTGTATCCTATGTCATTCATGTTTGGTCAACTAGCTAAAAAAAAAAGTTTCTTCTATTACAACATATTTCCAAATTTCTACTGAATCGAATTTTCTCATCACGCTATAATCTCTTTAAATATACCTGAAATGTAATTAAAACATTCTATCTTCAGAACTTTCACTAATAAATTGCTATTTTAAATAAACTTAATCAAATTACATAACATGGAATTTCTCCTTCTGAGGTAACCCGTTGAGCCATCTTGGAAATTTCTCTTGCTGAAGTCTTTTTAATTGAACAAGTTTTAACAATAAAAAAAAACTACAATGTTCCCCTACTCTTGAAAAAAAAAAATTTTTTTTAACAGAATAACCTTTAGAATGAATAAATCCGGTGTTTAATGAAGGAAAAAGACAATTTTGAAACTAATTTAAAGAACAAAATTGTTGGCAAACCATTTTTCTATGGGAAAAGAAAATTGGGAAAGTAAAAAATGGTGTGATAACACATCCGCCCCAAAACTCTCC